AGATCCCATTGGCATTGAGGCAGAAATGGCCAGGCCCAAAACAACAATCAAAAGTGTTGAAGTAGGCCATTCAGGTCATCAAGTCTGCTCTGCCATTTGATAAGATTGTGACTGATCTGATAATCCCCATCTCCACTTTCCTGCCTTTTCCCCATCACCCTTGATTCCCTTCCTGATTAAAAACCTGTCTATCACAGCCTTGAATATTTGGACATGTTGAGGGAATGGTCAAATGCAAGGCAGACGCAATATAATGTGGATAAAGATCAAGCGCTCCACTTTGGGAGCAAAAACAGGAAGGAAAATTATTACCTGAATGGCTGTAAATTGGGAGAGGGGGATGTACAATGAATCCTGGGTGTCCTTGTTACACAGAGCAGCAGGCAGTGAAGAAGGCGAATGGCATGATGGCCATCACAGTGACAGGATTCGAGTACAGGAGCAGTCTTGCTGCAGTTATACAGGGCCGTGGTGAGACCATACCTGGAGTATTGTGTGTAGTTTTGGTCTCCTTATCTGAGGAAGAATGTTCTGGCTACGGAGGGTGTGCAACAAAGATTTACCAACTAATTCCTGCAATGGTGAGACTGAAATATAGAGAGAGATTAAAGCAAATAAGATTATATTCACCGGTGTTCGGGGGTGGGGTTAGATCTCATAGAAAGTTATACAATTCTAACAGAACTAGACAGGATAGATACAGAAAAGATGTTCCTGATGGTGGCAGAGTCCAGAACCAGGGGGTCGCAGTCTCAGCAAACAGGATCAGCCATTTAACACTGAGATAGCTTCACCCAGAGAGTGGTGAGCCTGTGGAATTCACTAACACAGAAAGCAGTCGAGGCCAACACATTGTATGATTTAAAGAGGAGTTGGATACAGGACTTGGGGGTAAAGGGATCAAAGGATATGGAGGAAAGTGGGAACAGGTTATCGAGTTGGGTAATCAACCATGATCATATTGAATGGTGGAGTGGGCCTGAGGGCTGAATGGCCTACTCCTGCTCCTACTTTGCATGTTTCTCGGCTTAATATATTTATTGACCCAGCCTCAACAGCCCTCTGAAATAAAGAATTCCACAGAATCACTTTTTTCTGAGAGAAGAAATTCCTCCTCATCTCTGTCTTAAATAGGTAACACCTATTTCTGAGATAATGCCCTCTGGTCCTCAGCTCTCCCAAAGAGAGAAACAACATTTCCACAGCTACCCTGTCAAGTCCCCCTAAGAATCTTGTACGTTTCAATAAAGTCACCTCTCATTCTTGTAAACTCCATTAAGTACATGCCCAACCTATACAACCCTCTCCATGAGACTGTTCCTCCATACCCAGTATTAGTCTAGTGAACCTTCCCTGGACTGCCTCCAGGCACAGTCCAAATTTATTTAATAAAGGGCCCAAAACTATTCAGAATATTCCAGCTGGGGTCTGACCAGTGTCTAGTATAGTTTTAGCAAATCCTCTCTCTATCCTTTATCCATGTGAACATATGGCTTCCAACACCTTGGGCTAGTATTAAGAAGCCTTTAGTTTTAGCCATGCAGTTGAGGGATAAACATTGACTAAGGACATCAGGGAGTACTCTCAGAGAAAGGATTCTTCAAATGTGTCAATTAAGTCTTTCTTCTTTTGGGCGTGAACTTTTTTTAAAATTCATGAAATGTAGGGTTTGCTGGCTGGGCCAGCATTTATTGCCTGTCCCTCGTTGCCCCTTGAGAAGGTGGTGATGAGTTGCCTTCTTAAACTGCTGCAGTCCCTGTGCTGTAGGTTTACCCACGAAGCTATCAGGGGGACAATTCCAGGATTCTGACCCATGACAGTGAAGCAACAGCGATATATTTTCAAGTGAGGACGGTGAGGAGTTTGGAGGGGAACTTGCAGGGGGCGGTGCAATGGGAACATTATCAGTTAATGATCATTCTCCTCTTGCTGGGCAGCAACACGCCTGCTGTTTCCTGTTCTCAGAACTGTGATCGAGTCTGTTTTAAATTCATTGCTCAGTCAGTGACAGGAGAGATCACAGCCATGGTGCCCTGTGTTTATACCATTGCCTACGGTAAACTGATTCTGGCTCTTCTGTTGGCACCAAGTAAGTACCTGAATAACCAAATCTGCCTTGAACAAACGAGACATATCAAACATTTTCATGTAGATATGGGGCTTCAGGGGCTGCTAGGTAGATAGCATTCACATTTGTTACTGGTATCTTCACCACTTTAGACCAGTCTTGTCTTCTGATGAGGCAGATTTCAGTTCCAGTCAACTCGATTTGTTACCTTGTGATCAGGATCCCAGGGAGATTCCTCCTGATCTGCTCATGGTTTCCCTGTTTTAGAAAGAACCAAGGATTTCCCCATGACCAACTCATGCTGGCTCTGTGTCCAGTACACACTGCAAAGAAGGATGGTGCAAGCAAGTGCAAGAATAACTTTCAAAGGATTTTGAATAAATATTTAACAGGGAAATCATTGCAGGTATATTAGACAATAGTGGGAATAATTAAATGAAATTCAAAATATTAAGCACAAACAGCAGGGAGGAACTTCTTATACTTTGGGATTCTTGATCCAACGGCCTTCAGATGGTTAGAGCTTCTGCTTGAATTTTATTTTATAGTTTCCAAAAGGAATGTTTAGACTCTGTCATTCACAACCCTACATACACAACTTTTTGTGTGATTCTGTATAATTTTCTGTTTATCTAGGGATACTATGTTTATCTGGGGTAGTTGTGTTTATATGGGAGTGTTATGTTTATCTGGGGGTGCTGTGTTTATCTGGGGGTGCTGTGTTTATTCTGGAGTGCTGTGTTTATCTGCATGTGTTGTGTTTATCTGGGGGTGCTGTGTTTATCTGGGAGGTGCTGTGATTATTTTGGGGTGCTGTGTTTATTGGGGTGCTGTCTTTATTTTGTGGTGCTGTGTTTATCTGTCAGAGGAGGTCTTTAAAGAGTTAAGATTGTCTGGGAGGGGACATGTTTGAGACAAAGTAGAAACCTCAGCTCTTTGAGTTTTGAGACAGAGGAATTCCTTTAAGAGTGGAGAAAATGATGAAATCTGAATTTGATATAAACTGTATTAGATAAAAAGCTCAAGGAGGAAACATTGACAGACAAAGGGATAGACGGACAGTGGGACTGACAGAGAAAGGGATAGTCAGATAGAGAGACAGACAGAGGGATAAACAGACAGCAAGATGGGCAAAGGGACAGAATGGGAGATTAAGTGCAGTTGGAGGTTCTAAACTGTTTGGACTGAATGCTAAGCTCACCAACAGGAATCTGAAAGAGTTGGGAATGTGACAGCCCAGGATGAGAAAAAGATGGTGTTGGAATCTCACAAGGAAAATGTTCAACAAGACATTTTCAAATTTCGGAAGCTCAGAGAGTTACATTTCCATTTGATGGATGAATTCTCTCCAGGTAGTGAGGTTCCTGGCTGCACTGTGAAGAAAAGTTCCTGATTGGGTCAGAGCAGTGAGCAATATTCCAACATTGTCTGAGGGTCATCCACTCTGAAATTGCAGCAGGAACAGGAAGTTGCTTTTAATGAATTGACAAGGACTTAGGGCAGTTTCCAAAGTAAAACAACATTTCCTGTTTTCAGAAAACGGCTGATATTTTCATTTGATTCTCTCTCAGGAACCATCAGGATCTATGACCCTAGTTGCCCCCCAACCTCAATCAACATTGGTCTGGGTGTGATCTCCCCACTGTGATCGTATACATCCCCTCAAATGCTTCTCCCACCTAACCATACCCCACCCAGCCCTCCCAGACCCTGTGATCCCTCCTTGTTATATCACCCATCATATCACATCCATTTCAGTTGCTCAGCATACATCAGCAATGTGAGTCTCAGGTCCAGGGTGAGCTGTGGTTTAAACTTCATGGAGTTTGAACAAAGCAACAAGTGCAGTTAATGATGGGCTGTCTTTCTTGCTCACCCATGCTCTCTGTCTAACTCCCTCAGTCAGCCTCACTGTTCTATCGTTACTCCAGTCACGTGCTGCTCCTTCCCCTGATCACTACCTTCCAGCCCTCCTTGTCTCACACTCAAAGTGGCTATGATTCCATTGTTGAACCACTGATGGAAATGAAGCAATGCATTTTTGTTTGACATCGTTGTAATAGTATTTTAGACTTTTACTGTTTAATTATAGTTGAAATGCTATGAGTGAGTATTTAAAAGTGATACCTCTCCTTATATTCTCAGCTTTCGCTGGAGGTATGACCAGCAACACTAGCCTGTACCAAATTACTCCAACCAAGGAGCCAGGCTCCACTTTAACACCAGGATCTCGTCCCAGTCTTGAATCGAAGCCAGGATACACAATGGAATACACAGAGCAGACAAATCATAGTCGAGAGGGTGAGTCGCATGTGACATCAGCTTCTGGAATCAAACATTTCCTGCACCTAACCTCCAGCAACTGGAAACATTCGCTCTAACAAGACAGGGCAAGTTACATAATTCTCCGGCAGTGCAACTGACAGAGAAGAATCATAGAATCCCTTCAGCCCATTGAGCCCACACTGATCCTCCAAAGAGCATCCCATCCAGACCCACTCTATCCCTGTAACCCTGCATTTCCCAAGGATAGCCACCTAGCCTGCATTGGACACTATGGGCAAATTAGCATGACCAATCCACCTAACCTGCACATCTTTGGACTGTGGGAGGAAACCTGAGTACCTAGTGGAAACCCACACAGACACAGGGAGAATGTGCAAACTCCACACAGTCACCTGAGTGTGAAAACGAACCCAGGCCCATGGTGCTGTGAGGAAGAAGTGTTAACCACTGAGCCACTGTGCCCCCATTACAGTGCCGTCCCAAAGAGGGAGAAAAGTATTTGCTTCAGTTGAAACTGTTTCATTGACTCCTATGATCTTTGTATCTAAACAGATAATTTCACCATAATGCCTGCAATCATAGCAAGACCCCACAAACATGAGAGACAAATGGTCTCTAAATTTAATTTAGAATTTTGATGAAAGGATTAATATTAGTGAAATAAATGAAAGATGCTCTGTTATTGCTTCAAATCTGTTACAAGATTATCCCAATACACACAGTGATGATGTCAACCAGCGAGTAATCCACAATGTTGGGATAATGATCTGCAGCCATGGGTTCAAATTCCACCATTGATTAAAACCTGGAATTAAAAATGCTGGTTAAATGGCTTGCTGTTTAAAACCCATCTGGTTCACTAAGTCCTCAGGGAAGGTAAGTGCCCTCCTTACCTGATCTGGCTCTATGTGTGACCTCAGACCCACAGCAATGTGATTAACTCCCTCTGAAATAGCCCAGGGATCGAGTCTGTGATGCCCAAGCCCTATGTTTGAATAAAAAGAGTTGACAAAGTCAAGTTTCGGTATCTGCTTCCAAAGGGGCCTCTGACAGTGCAGAAATCCTTTCATACAATAATATCGGTTGTTACAAGGAAGTTTAAACTTTAAGTCAGACATACGTTTTAAACAGCTGAAACTAACTTTTTTTTAATATTCTTTGATATCAATAAATTCTGCTCCAACTGATTTTCCCTTTCTTTACCTTCAATTCCTGTTCAAAATTTATCAGGTTGGTTCAGGTTGACTTGCTCAAAACAAATCTATGTTGTTCAATTCTGAACATTGTCGTTCATTTACCTACATCATTACTGTCTCCAATGATTTGTGACTTCAGTTGGGATCCTAATCAGTGGATGGATGTGTGTTCTATCTGTGTGTCCCTTTTTGCCATTTGCCATGAATGACCCCGCACTGATCAATTGTGGGAAGCTGTGGTGACTTCCTACACAACCTCCTCACAAACCCTCTTCAGTCCCTCGGAGCACATACCATCTGCTCCAGTGACATTCCAGTTCATAGCATCCTCATCCTCTTCAGACAGTTTTCATACTTTATCTAATGGTTCCCCAATCAGCTCAAGGAGCAAGTGCTCTGAACAGATAATCTTCTCCTGGAGAACAAAGGACCAACAGTCGCTTAAATTCTTTTTATTTGTTTGTAGGACGTCGCCGTCACTTGCTGGGCAAATATTAATTGCCCATCCCAAATTACCCATGTGATGGTGGTGGTGAGCTGCCTTTTTTAACAGGTGCTGTTCTTGGAGCTTTTGCATACTGACAGTGCTGTTAGCAAGGGAGTTCTAGGATATGAACACAGCTGCCCCTGCCCTTTGGGGTGGTAATAGACATGGATGTAATGGAAACCACTGTCAAGAGAGCGGTGAGGTGTCATGTAGGTGGAGATTAAACCTCAGTCTCTCCTGACAGACGTTGTGAAGGGCAGGAGAAAACATTTGAATCAGGAAATATGGTCACGATAGCTTAAAAACCAGGCTCTCTCTCATATTTCACACTGTCAGATAGTGAATCAGTTATATTTCGCTCTCTCAGTTCACTGGATTTCCTGAAGGAAAGGGTTAGGCTTAGGGTTTTATTTTCTCAGGATCCACTGAACTGTAATAGCTGTAATATCCATCTATTTATTCAAGTCCTAGGCAACAACATGGAATTTCTGTTCAATGAGAGTTACAAATACTGTGGCAAACCTTTTGAAAACAACATTCAGAACACTGGGCAACAGCAGTGGTGCAGCTGGACAGCAATTGCTAGGTGAGTAACGAGGAAACTAAAGTAACATGTAATATCAAACTACACATTACTTAATACACAGCACTGTGTAACTGTGTCGTTAATCAAGCTAACTCACTGTGTAATTGTACAGAGTCAGTGTTTATTCAGCAGGGTAATGGACACTTACTATTGAATGCTGGTTTATGCACTAATCTCTTATCTTTTTTCTTCAGCTTTTACAATACCCTGACAGAGTGCTCGGAAATTATAATGGAGTTTTATGGATCCTATTGGCCAAATGAAGCTGGTGAAAAGTTATTAATTCTGATGCACAATCATTACTTTAAGGATTGCTTCGTGGAGGAGGTTCCCACTCTGAGTGATCCTCCTGAAAACATAGTGCTGGGCCTCATAATGGTTCCAATCAGCATCATACCCATCATTGTAACACTGGTTGTCTGGTGCAACAAAAACATTGAGTCTAATGCCAAAAAGTAGATGCAGACATTAAATGTAACCCTTCTTATAGTTTGCTTTGTCCTGAACTCCTGATTTCCCATCTCCCGTAAATATTTCCCGTAGCGATTGCTGTTCTGACACATTTCTCTGCTCCATTAGTTTATTCCTCCATCCCCTCAAACTCTCTGCAGCATTTCGGTAGTACTCTGAAATTAAGAATCTAATGATGACCGTGAATCCATTGTCGATTGTCAGAAAAACCCATCTGGTTTACTAATGTCCTTTAGGGAAGGAAACTGCCATCCTTATCTGGTCTGGCCTACATGTGACTCCAGATCTACAGCAATGTGGTTGACTCTTAACTGCCCTCTGGGCAATTAGGGATGGGCAATAAATACTGCCTAGCCAGTGACACCCTTGTCCAATGAATTAATAAAGAAAAAAAAAATCACCTTCTGCGAAACCTGATTTTGGGAAATGTTCACTGCTGACTTGGATCACAATTTATCATCTCAACAGCCAGCTTGATGTCACTATCATTCTCTCAACTTCATACTCTTTGTCCAATGTCCATTCTTCGATCAGCTGTAATCTTGTGTCATTCAATATCGAAAATGTGGAATTCATTGACTTTGGTCCCTCACTGCCTTAAGCTCTATGACCTGATCACCAACACCAACTCTCCCCCAACCACTTTCTCGGGCTGCTCACCTCCCCCCACCATGGCCCTATCTGCCTCTGAGCCTCCTGATCACACATTAACTCCATCACTGTAAATGTCTATTTGCACCACCTTCATATCACTGGCCTCCACCACGACTTCTGCTCATCCTTATCAATGGCCTTTGTTCCCTCAAGACCTGACTATTCCAGTATGTTTCTGGCCAGACTCATGTTGTCCATTCTCTATAAACCTAACTTCAGCCAACTCTCTGCACAGTCACACCAAGCCCCATTTATCCATCTTGCCTGTGTTGGTTGATTTAAACTAAACAGGCTCTTGGGCCCTTAATACGTTAGATTTAAAGTTCTCAAATTGTGTTTAAATCTCTCCATTATCTTCCCTTCTCTGACACCTCCTGCAACCCTATAGCCAAAACTATCCGCCTTAAGAGAAAAACCTTTGTTTGGGCGAGTTTCCTTTGGTTCACCTCCCTGCACTTTGTTCCTTATTCCATTTAATCCTGAAAGTTGGAAAACTCCCCTGAATCTAACTGATCTCTCCAGCTCCCTCACCACCTTCTTTTTGATTGAGCAGCTGGTGCCTTTCCAAATGTCCCATTCTTTGGATCTTTGTCTTTTTTTGTGTCTCGGTCTTAGGCTTTTAATTAAAGATGTATGTAAATTCAAGGATGTTGATGTTGTTGCTGGGAATCTCTTGAGAAGTGGATCTTTATTCTTCAATCAGCAGTGGATCTGATGACTTTGTTCACAAAAGAATAAATGAGAACTTTCCCCAAATGCTGAGCTACTTTTTTCCTGACCTTCTGTGATTAGAATTTGAACAGATCCACTGCACTGCTCAGATTGTGGAAGTGCTGACAGTGGATGTGACAGGAACACGACACATTTCTAAATCCAATACCAGTCAAGGTTTCAGTTCCCTAAGGCCTGGGCGAGGTAGCATATATATTCTATAGTGTACCTGGGCATACGTATATATGCCTTACTACACCCAGATGCTAAACACTTTACCAGGTGCAGCAGGCAGTAAGGAAGCTAAACTGGATGTTGGCCTTCATAGTGAGAGGATTCGAGTTCAGGAACAAGGATGTAATGCTGTAATTAGACAGGGCCTTGGTGAGGCCACACCTGGAATATTGTGTGTAGTTTAAGGATCAGGGGTAAATTTTTAGGACTGGGATGAGGAGAAATGTCTTCAACCAGAGAAGGGCAAGCCTATGGAATTCACTGCCACAGAAAGCGGTTGAGATCACAACATTGTGTTTTCAAGAAGGAGGTAGATATAGCTCTTGTTGCTAAAGTGGGGGATGTGCAGGATTGGGGAATTGAGCTTGATGATCAGCCACGATCCTATTCAAAGGCAGAGCAGACAAAAAGGCCGAATAGCCTCTTTCTGCTCCTGTCTTTTATGTTTCTGTGTAAGACTCGACATTCTACCAGCCATTCAGTGACTTTTCAGGGGCTGATGTCATTTTAATTTATTTTTATTTTATTCCAAGGAGCTTTGCTGCATCATCCAAACTTCTGCCCCTTTGTGTTTCCTAGCTCCCCGCTCCCTGACTCCTGCCAAACTGTCGCATTAAACCTCCCATTGAACCTTCCCAAACCACTTTCCAAAGTGAGTACATTTTAACAACTGGAAGTGAACGAAACTCCCGATGTCAACAAAAACAGAATAGCAACAAACGAGCACAGCTTTCAGTGTCTAAAGATGTAAGTTGGTGAAATACACATCAATACATCAGATAAATATTAAAATCGATGTTATTAAAGTGCTTTGTAAAGATGGCTGTTTTGTGAAGTCATGTAGGTTTAGGGTTAAGGTCTCAGCGTTCCTCACTGACTGAAAGTTCACTGTGTCCCTCTCCTGCTGCCTGCTCACCCCCAGATGCCCCTGGCACTGCTGCAGGCGTGCTGCAGCTGCCAGTCACAGGGACTCATTGAGATGGGCAGCTTCCACAAGGTCCCAGCTCCCCTGCTCAAACCCATCCCCACCAACTCTGGGAGAGAGTGAGAAACGAGCAGAGCTGGGTGGGAACTGGCTCACTGGCTCTCGGTGCCTTCAGAGAAGCACAGCCTTGGAGTCTCCTCTGCCGTCCACTCAAACAGACCAAAGGAACAGTCATCATCAAACACTCCCAGGGACAGGGACAGCACGGGGTTAGATACAGAGTAAAGCTCCCTCTGCACTGTCCCAAACAAACAATCCCAGGGCAGGGACAGCACAGGGTTAGATACAGAATAAGGAATGTTCCTTGGGTGGACATGGGGTGGGGGTGGGGCCAGTAGGCATACTGGTGACGTGAGCAATGTGAGGGTTTTAAGTAGCCCTTAAGGAGAGGGAAATGAAAAAACTCCAGCACTCGCTAAGTTTTATCACAGTTTGTAAAGTGATTGTGACTGGAATGGTCTGAAGGATTTGAACAGCTGCTGCATGAGAAAGTGAGTGATCCAGGAGTGTTTGTGAAAACATGATGTTAATCCTTTCCTGCCAATTAACATCTATCTCAATTGTTCCAATTTGGATTGGGTTTGCTCACTTCTCACACAGAGACAAGGTCACAGACATGAAAAGGGAAGGAGACCCTACAGTAAAATGTCCCCACCCCTCTGTCCCACATTCCAGTCCAATGGATCTTCCTGCCCTCCCACTCCTGATTTGATTCAGGGACTGAGAACAAATCATTTTAAACCCTTTGGTTGTGAAACAGGTGATGATTGGGAAGTAAAACACAGGTGATGCCTGATTTCATGGGGAGTTGGCTTTTAGCCTTAAGGCTGGTGTTGGTGTGTGTCAGTGTGACTCATTGTGGGAATCACTTGTATGTTGTCTCTAGGTGTTTTCATCTGAATGGTTTGTTTGTGTCGATTGTTACAACCCAGTGAGTGATTCTCTAGTCCCACTACACACCAATGTAACTGTAGCATGCAAAGTCCCTGACCGACTTGTCTGTTGGAATCAAATTAAACAGAAAATACTGACCAGCTTCCTGTACTTAACAAGAACAAGGGTTGTGGTGGCTGTAACTAGAGAAATTTCAAAATCATCATAGAGTCATAGAGTCTTACAGCATGGAAACAGACCCTTTGGTCCAACCAGTTCATAGTGACCATAATCTCAAACTAAACTAGTCCCACCTTCCTGCGCTTGGCCCATATCCCTCCAAACCTTTCCTATTCATGCACTTTTAAATGTTGTAACTCTATCTGCATCAACCACTTCCTCTGGAAGTTCATTGCACACATGAATCACTCTCTGTGTAAAAAAGTTGCACCTCATGTCTTTTGAAAATCTTTCTCCTCTCACATTAAAAATATGCCCCCTAGTCTTGAAATCCCCCACCTTAAGGAAAGGACACCTGCTATTCACTTTATCATGATTTTATAAAGTTCTATAAAGTCACTCTTCAACCTCCTACACTGCAGTGAACAAAGTCCCAGCCTATCCAGTCTCTCTCTTTAACTCAAACACTCCATTCCCAGCATCATCCTGGTAAATCTTTTGTGAACGCTCTCCAGCTTAACAGTATCCTTGCTATAACAGGGTGACCAGAACTGGACACAGTATTCCAGAAGAGGCCTCATCAATGTCCACTACAACCTTAACATGACTTTGCAACTCCTATACTCAAAGGTCTGAGCAATGAAAGCAAGTGAACTAAACACCTTCTTAACCACCCTGTCTACATGTCACACAAACTTCAAATAATTAATATAGAATCCCTACAGAGCAGAAGCAGGCCTTTCAGCCCATTGAGTTCACACCAACCCTCTGAAGAGCATCCCACCCAGACTCAACTCCTACCTTATAACCCTCCACTTCTCATGGCTAACCCACCTAGCCTGCACATCTCTGAACACTATATGCAATTTAACGTGGCCAATCCACCATAACCTGCACATCTTTGTGGGAGGAAACCGGAGCACCTGGAGGAAACCCACGCAGTCATGAGGAGAATGTGTGAAACTCCACACAGATGGTCGCCCAAGGGTGGAGTTGAAACTGGGTCCCTGGCGCTGTGAGGCTGCAGTGCTAACCACTGAGTCACTGTGCCATTCGTTATGTACCTGAACCCCTGGTCTCTCTGTTCCACAGCACTACCCAGGGCCCTACATTTAATTGTATAAGTCCTGCCCTTGTTTGTTTTACCAAAATGTAATACCTCACATTTATCCAAATTAAACTCCATCTGTCACTTGCCAGCCCATTGACCCAATTGATCAAGATCTCATTGTGATCTTAGATAACCTTCCTCACTGTCCACTATACCATCAATGTTGGTGTCATCTGCAAACTTACTACCCATATTCTCATCTAAATGGTTTATATAAATGACAAGGAAAAGTGGACCCAGCACGGATCCCTGTGGAATGCAGCTGGTAACAGACCTCCAGTCCGAAAAATAACCCTCCATCACCACTCTCTGTCTTCTGCCGTTAAACCAATTTTGTATCCATTTGGCAAGCTCACCCTGAATCCCCTGTGATCTAACTTTACTAATTAGTTTACCATGCAGAACCTTGTCAAAGGCTTTACTAAAGTCCAAGTAAACAACTTCTAATGCTCTGCAATTGTCAATCTTCTTGGTTACTTCCTTAAAAAACTCAATCAAATTTGTGAGATATGATTTCCCGCACACCAAACCATGCTGATGATCCCTAATAGGGAATAGTGCCAAAGTTAAGCGTCTAAATTGAGAGAAGGCCAATTTCAATATCATTGGACAGGATTTGGCAAATATGGAGTGGGAGTTACTTGCTACTTGCAGGTAAGGCTACATTTGAAAAGTGAAAGTCTTTTAAAAGCAGGATCGTGAGGATTCAGGGCCAGCGTGTTCCTCTAAGAGTGAAGGGCAAGGGCAGCAAGTCCAGGAAATGCTGGATATTGAGATATTGACAGTTTGATAATGAAGAAAAGGAAGCATATGTCAGGGAAAGCACATTAAAAATAGGGGAAAGCTTTCAAAAGTATAGAAATTGAATAGAATCTCTACAGTGTAGAAAGAGGCCATTTTGCCTATCAAATCTGTACTGACCCTCTGAAGAGCATCCCTTTCAAACCCAGTCCCATAAACCCCACATTTACTAGGCTAATCCACTAGACACAATGGGTAATTTAGCATGGCCAATCCACCTAACCTGCACATCTTTGGACCGTGGGAGGAAACTGTAGCACCCAGAGGAAACCTATGCAGACACAGGGAAAACTTCACACTGACAATCACCCAAGGGTGGAAATGAACCTGGGTCCCTGGTAATGTGAGGCAGCAATGCTAACCACTGAGCCACTGTGTTGTCTCTGTGTAGTTTGTGGTTGGGGGGAGGGCTTAAAAAGGAAATTAGGTGGGCAAAGAGGGACCACAAAATATCTTTGGCAGCTAGGATCAAGGAAAACCCCAAGGCTTTTATAAGTATATTAAGAGTAAAAGGATTACCAGGGAAACAGTGGGCCCTATGAGAGACCAAAAGGACAACCTATGCATGGAGCCAGTGGATGTGAGTGACATCTGAAAAGTATATTTCTTACCTGTATTCACAAGGAGAACGATGTTGTAGCTGAGGATTTCAGTTAGGCTGGTGACGTTCTAGAACACAAGTGCTCAAACCAATCAGCTACCTGTTGCCAGCCAAATTGCACTTGGCACAGAGAGCTGCCGATGCCAGGCTGTTTACCGACAGCTTCTCTCCCGATACTTCACTGCTAAAACAAAGCTGCAGTGTAAATACCACACTATGTATTTCAGGAACTTATTTATTTTTAAATAGTGCAGTAATCC